CTACTAGCACAAAATGCAGTAGACACATTGCAGTTATCCACTCCTTCTTATCAGCATAGGAGGAACTAGCTTGTTCAGGTCTTGTTTCCACAACACCCCACTCTTGCCGCAGACCAAACAGACAAGAAACCCACATATATTCCATTCCATCAACTTTGACCTCTCTGATGTTCAGATCAACTGAGTAGCAGCTGCCAGATCTTCACTGCACACTGTTCTCTGCAGATGGCCCCTTTGATAAGTTCTAACCTAAAAAAATTACAAAGGGAAATGAAGAAATCAGGAAATGGTAGATTAAACACAATAAATGCAAGACTTGGTTTATTGTTATCTTCCAACAAGCCCAAACTTCCTTTTTTTGATATCAGCTTTATCTGTGGCAGAAAGCCATCGTGGTCTGTGAATAATTCTGAATATGTTGTCAAGCTAGTAAAAATGTTCAGAGTAGACCACATCTTCAATAATTTCCACAAGTTTACAATTTTTCAGGTAAAGCTGTACTTTACTTGTGTGTGAGGAAGATTGGCCCTGAGCTAACATCTGTGCCAATCTGCCTCTATTTTGTATGTGCGACGCTGCCAAAGCATGGCTTGATGAGTGATGTGTAGGTCCACACCTGGGATCCGAACCCAAAACTTAACAATTATGCGACTGAGCTGGCTCTGGTAAAGCTATGCTTTAATGCAACAAAATTAATTAATTTTCCCCCAACCTATTAAGAGCTGCTGCTTAGTTCTAATACTGGGAAGCTTTCAGGTTTGGAGCCTATACTTCTTAGAACTCATATTACAAAATGGGCTCTTTCATGATTTTAACTGTTCTTTGGCCCTTGCAGTACAGCTATTCTAGATGTAGTCTTACTCACGGTCCTTAAATGAGGATCATTTCTATTTCATTTCTTACATATCCATTTGGATGTCAAGAGGAATCTTTTCAGAATGCAAATATGCCCCGCCACTGGGACACAGACACACACCACCCACAGAGACCTGCACAGGAAAAATTGGCTACAAATTCAAAACCAGTCCTTTCTCTAGAAATTTTAATAAAAGGCAAAGATAAATGATCTAAAGAGAAATCAGAGTATTTCAGAGTTGTAATTTTGTATGATTTATAAATTACACAGTTTATCTGATTTTTCTATTAATATCTTTTCTCACTAAACTGTAACTCCATATCTCAGGTTGGGCTCTGCAGGGAGCAGACTGAGAAAGAGACAGTGTGCAGGAGGTTTATTAGGGAAGGTGTTTGGAATCACCACCTGTGGAAGGAAGAAATCGAGATGGGGCAGAGGAGGAGTTGGGTTGCAATATAGTCTCAACCAAGTTCTCAGCTGACGCCATGGGAAACTCTCAAGGTGACTGGCTCCACGGAACTGTTCCAAATTTAAGCAAGAGGGTCAGGTCTTTGTTGACCAGTCATTGGATGCAGGCTGCCCAAAAAAGAGGATGTGACCTTGGATGAAGTGACTCTTTTCAACTGAGGTAATCCTGAAGAGGGCTGATAGCCAGGGCTGGCTTCATAGATGTGTGACTTGTGTAGTCACATAGGGCCCCATGCCTAGAAATACCCCACACTTAGTTTAATACTCTGCTGTCTCTGCCTTAAAATTCTTATTCATTTTTTAACAAGGAGCCCTACATCTTCCTTTTGCACTAGGCCCTACAAATTGTGTAACTGGTCCTGCTGACAGCTGAGGTCTGCCAGCCTGCAGCACTTCCTGCGGCTGGGGTGGTAAGTCCTTCAGTCCTGGTGTGGGATCTGGATGACAGACCACAGTATTCACTATAATCCACCCCTTGCATTGCTTGGATCCACTTCTTTGCATAAATTCTGGGAGCATTCTCAGGATTCCAGGGTAAAGCCTCTTTCCCTAGAGGAAACTTATAAGAAGGAGTTTAGTGGAATGAATTACAGTCCCCAACACTGAAACTGGGCCCTTGGGGCTATAACTGATAATCATCATCTTTCTCCTTTACTATCCATTTTAGGTTCTCTTCACCCTTAGCTAGCACTTCTGCTGGTCTCAGTGACTTACTAGAGATGAACCCAGCCCTTGATCCTTAGAAGTTCTGAATCCCTGGTCCTATGATCTTTCAGGCTCATCAAGGCTGCTACATTTGTCTACTTATAATCAAAATTGGACAAGACAGTACCAAGAGGTGCCCAAGTGGATTGCCTGGGTACCAATATATTCCTCCTTGCTCCAACTGTTGTACAGTAGCCCTACGTCCTCTTTATGATTGATTGGATCAATTATCCCTGCCAGGATGGTGACTCCTCTTTTTGCTTGCTAGTTTCTTGGCATAAGGAGCCTGAGGTAGCCAGACAGTTGATGTAGCTTATAGTTCAATGACACTCTTTCCGGGTCTGCTGGTGGAAGTCTTTCACCTTTGGGAAGCAGGACTTCTAAACTGCACAGCCCAGAGTTGTAGACACAAGAAACATAAATTCTCCCCTAGGAATGACAGGAAACAAGGCCACTCCTGCTTCCATTCCTTGATTCCTGGACATATGTATCCACCTATTGAAAATACAGAACCATATCAAGACCATTAATGTAAAGTCTACACTTCATCTTGGAGAACGGCACCCACTTTAGGTATTCCTTCAACAGACTGTTCCATCACTCAGGCTAGAAGCTTCTGGATGATGCAGTGTGATATAATGAGTAGAGTCCATGGTCATTAGCCCACTCTTGTGTCTCCTTTGCTCTAAAGTGGGTCCCATGTGATAGGAAGAATCTGCAAGTCCTCAGCGATGCTGGCTGAGGCACTGCAGATAGGAAAGGTGAATCACCTGAAATAAGTGTCTATTCCTGCCAAAATGAATCACTGCCCCTTGCTGGGACCATTGTAAATCAATGTGCCACCAAGTGGCTGATGGGTTTCCTCGAGGAATGGGGACTCAGCATTGGTTTTTGTTGTTGGCAGTCCGAACATTCAGCAGTGGGTGTAACTAGATCAGCCTTGGTATGTGGGAACCCATGCCATTGGGCCCACTGGTAGCCTCCAATCCTGCTACAGTGGCTATTCCAATGCCAGATGCTGGATGATGTCAACTGACCAAATCATTTTGTCAGCTTGGTTGTTCAGGGCCTCTTCCACCACGGATACTTTATGGTAGGAGTCATCATGCAGTACAAAGCTCTTCACACTTCATGCACATCCACATGCCTTTATCTCAGACCTCCTTGTCCCCAATCCTCCAGGCTATTTCTTTACAGGCCCCTGACCAGCTGGCCAAACCAGTTGCCACTGTTCAAGTATATTCTAACCTTGGGCCACCTTCCATACATATGGATAGCCAGGGGTACTGCCTGAAACTCTACCCTTTGGGAGGATTTCCCCTCATCACTCTTTTTCAAGGCCACCCCTGAGTGGGGCTGCAGTATAGCCATCATCTATTTTCAGTTTGCACCCATGTACTGGCCTTACCCATCCATGAGGCAAGTTCAGGCATTTTTCTCTTCCATCAACTGGCCACACAGAATCAGTGGCAATACATGTGAGCTAAGGGAGAAACACTGGTGTCACAGTGGTACGTGACGTGGGAGTTTGGCCTACCTGTTTACATAGCATACTGTGCCCTCTGGCCATAATTGTGTTTGATCCTAGACGTATCTTCCATCCTACAATGGATTGTTACACAACTCTGCCCCACTTTAAGACTTGATGAGACTGATGGAACCCAGCTCATTATTGGTGGTTTTGGCTACACGGCTAGTGAGCATCCCATCATCAGGTGCTACATATCTACCAAGTAGCACACAGAAGCCATTTGTTGAAAGGTGTTTACTTCTCTGCTACAAATGGCATGGGAACTTGTCATAAACTCCACACAGCATCTTTTCTCACCACTGATGCATCTAATACAACAGGCATAATTGTTGTTCAGCCTATTTGGGAAGCTCACCTACATAGTCAACAGTACAAGCAATTAGACTGGTAAAGAGCCTTAACAAAATGCTGTTAAAAAACACTTGATGGTGCAGCTAACTCTCTAGAAAATCTGGACAGTCCGACAGGGGTGACACTCGAATACTATCTTTAAGAATGCATGTTTCCTCCAGAGTCAGAAGCAGAGAAAGCACAGGGAGCGCATGATTTCCAGGCACCTTATATTCAGATCTCATCATTTTATCAACATATTTGACCTGCTTAGAACCAAATTATATTGTCCTTTCCCCTCATCCTCTTCTTCCAATGCCTATGGAGTCTCCCCACTATTTATCCTCTTCGAAGTTGGCATTTTAATGTCATCTCTAGAGCGAGTTCACTCAGCCCTCTCTATATTCGAGAGCATTCATAAAAACCTAAGATTAGATAAATCGCAATGACCCACAAGCTCCTGTATACGCCTAAACTTTAATTCCAGTCTTTGTGTATTCCTTAACCTCACCCAAAAAAACCTAAAATCCCATGATTTCACATATATAGCTTATAATGTGAAACTATGTTAAATGCTGTTTAGAGTTTTAAATAAGTTACATGCACTGGTGTACCCTTTATTATGTAGTTTTATTATTCTCAAAGGAGTCCACTCAGGTATGATTTTTTTTCCAGACAGAAAAATACTTGTTACATACTTCCTGCTGGATTAACACCTGTGACTGTCAAAACCTACCTTTATCATTCATAGCTCTCTTCCTCCGAGGCTATCCCTGAGCTTGAACACTGGCCTGAGACTTCCACCTAATCCACAAAGGTAGCACTATCAGCTGGCACTCACAGACATAAGACTTGAGGTGTTACAGAATGATACATGGAAACATACAAGGCAAAATTAAAATTTGCTCATGAGACTTATTTCCTAACCTTTTAATCACTCATTGCTTTGTTTGAAACATTTCTGCAATGGAATTGAGCGCACCGGAAGTTTTGGTTTTTATAATTCAATTAATGCTTTTCAACTACTAATTCATCCATGACTGGTTATATAAAAGAAAAAGACAACATTGGCTTGGACAATATGGAAGTGATTCATCAGATATATTTGTAAATTTTTGCTTAGGCCATAGGTTTTTTACCTTTGACTTTCAGAAGTAAACCAGAGATATGTAAATAACAGAACATCCACATTATAATGTTACTCACAAGAAAGGCTAAAAAGAATGGGGCCACAGGCAAGTCAGTAACACTTTAATAAAATGAGCAGAACCCATTATAACAACAGCTCTTTATTACATGGACTGAAATACACAGCAGACCAATCATGTTCCCTGAAATTTAACAATCACATTCAATAAAAGCCTGTTAGTGCGTTCCTCAACACTCTAATTCTAAGGGGCTTCCTTTGAATTCCCTTTACAAAGCCTCGCGCAGAAAAGAGGTTAAGCAGCAGTAAGAAAGACTGTTGCTTGCAGCAGTTTTATTTCTTCATCATCATCATCATCATCAACAAACATGCAGGTTCTTCCTTCTATGTACACGGCGTTGTAAAATGGGTGCTACACTCTGCCTATGGTACAAAGTTTATAAATACAATATACCAATACAAAGTTGAAGCCATTAAAAAGAGCTTAATAACAACTACCAGGAGATAATTAAATCTGGAGTGTTGATGGAATCTATGAAGAGGTTTAGAAACAACACACAAACTCAAACATTGTAGTAAAGTTTTACTTGGGAAGGGGCCAAAGGGGCACTTTTTATGTGCCACTGCAGGGTTTTCTAAGTTGTTCCCAGTTTACTTTCTTTCTGCAATTATCTTTAAGTACTGCAGAGCATTGTGAGCTGCATCACTCTGTGCATTGCCGCAGGAGATCCCAGAGCCATGACAGACTGTGATGGGACTGGTGGACAGCTCCGCGAGACATTGATACTGTCCGTTGGCACTCAGTTCTTCTGTAATGACATATTCAAACATGAAGATTATTGCCAAGTGTATATAAAGCAGATCCTTGTAAAAACAATACGGTTTTTATGACTGTCTTTCTCAGTAAGCATCCATGGTATGCTGTTCCACTTACTCATCATCTTTGTCATTCTTGTAGAAACGAACAAAACACAAAACACGATCACTCAGCCACAGCAGTAGTTCTCAAACACAGCTGTGCTTCATAATCACCTGAGGGAACTTTAAAGAAATACAGGTGCCTAGGCCTCACTCCAGCCTGCTCAATAAGAAATGCAGGATTTGGGGTTGGAGTGGCCAGATTCTTACATTTTAAAAAAAAGCTCCCAAGGCAATTCTAATGCGGCTAGTTGAACAGTGTTTGCAAATTACTGAACCATAGCAACTTTTTTAAAATGGAAAAAACCATTTGCTACAGGACCAGAGGGACTGTATTTCCTATTATGACGTCTAGGGTTATTTTCAGTAGACATTTGAGCCAGGAAATACATGGTTCAGGGCAAGACTGCCCTTGCGCCTTCAGGTTCTTTGCTTGTAAGTCTGTGCAGCGTCTAGTTCCATATCGTATATGTGTTTTAAAAACAATACCTAAACACAGGAAATAAATGTTCTTCTCATCAACTCATGAATCACTCTTATTAAAAATGGTTGAATGAGACAAGGGGAAGAAGTAGCAACAGGTTATGATTTGTTTAAAGTGGTAATGATTAAAAGTTATTGTTTCAGCTAGAGTCAAAAGTGGAAAATATCCAGATACAATGGGGTTATGTACTGTGTGAAGAGGCTTTCTAGCTCTGGCATGTAGGTTCTTTTTTTTTAAATTGGGTTAAAATTCATGTAACATAAAATTAACCATTTTGAAGTGAACTATTCAATGGCATTTAGTACATTCCCAATGTTGTGCAACCACCACCTCTATCTAGTTACAAAATACTTGCATCATTTTATCACCCCAAGAGGAAACACAACACTCATTAAGCAGTTGCTCCCTAACCCCACTCCCACCCCCAGCAACCACCAATTTATGGATTAACCTACTCTGGGAATTTCACAGAAATGGACTCACATAACATGTGACCTTTTGTGTCTGGCTTCTTGCACTTAGTATAACGTTTTTGAGGTTCATCCACGTTGAAGCATCTATCAGAACTTCATCCTTTCTCATGGCTGAATATTTCGTTGCACATATATACCACAATTGATTTATACATTCACATTTGGGCTATTTCCGCCTTTTGGCTATTGTGAATAGTACTGCTGTGAACATGTGTGTACAGACATTTGTTTGAATACCAGTTTTCGATTCTTTTGGGTATATATCTAGAAGTAGAGTTGCTGGGTCATATGGTAACTCATTTCAGGAGTTGCACAACTCTGTTTTCCACAGCAGCTGAACCATGAATTCCCACCAACAATGTATGAGGGCCACAGTTTCTCTATACCTGTGCCCATATTTGTTATTTTCTACTTTCTCCATCATAGCCATCTTAGTAGATGTGAATTGAGACTTCACTGTGGTCTTGATTTGCATTTCCCTGATGAGTGATAGCGAGCAAAATGTGCTTTTTGGCCATTTGTATATCTTCTTTGGAGAATATCTAGGTTCTTTTGAAGGTAACTGCATAGAAGTTAGCCAAATTAACTGACTGTGGTTTTTAGACTGCTGTTCTATATTTACCAGAACTATTTAGTTCTTAAAACTGGTAAGAAGCATGTCAAAGGCATCCTTAATTCATAATCTAAAAAATCATCTCAAGTTTCCTTCTTTTCCCAGATTCAAAACCTTCCATAGTCCTATTCATGACATGGCTTATTCATCTCTGTATCTCAAACACCCAACAAAGTGTAGATACTTAATAAATAATTTTTGAATGAACAGTCTCCCATCAGCCACCTTTTCTGACCATCTGCTTGCACTAAATTCCCAGGTTCTGCATCATTCTCAGTATAGTAAGACATCGTACCTGATCCATCATTTAATCCCAAAGTAGCAGAGAAAATCAGAAGTTCTTTCATCCCTGAAAAACCCTACTTTCCCAGTGCTTACTAACTACTCTGTAACAAGTTAGGTCCCCACAGCTCACCGAGGCTGGAACAAGCGATATCAAATTCTTCACATACTATACTGATGTTAAATCAAAACACCAAACACACACACATATGCACAAATTAGCCACTTACAAACTTAATTAAAAGAAAATCCAAACTGACTTCCTTTCCAGTCTATCCACGTTTGTCTATCTAAACGATTAAGGGCTAGAGAAAATGTAGAAGATGATAGCTGGGACTGGATAAAGCTATAAATTGACTTGTCCCCTTTTATCTCCCAGAATTGGCACACAGTGACAAAGTGGAGAGAAGAGGTCTGACCTCTACAAACTTGGTGCTTGTTCTAGAAACATGGGTGCCTTTTTATTTGTCAAGCTGCCCATCAGGGCTAGTGTAACAGACAGCGTATCGTCAGGGACTCTTCCCTAATCGGGCTCTACCACTGACTAGCTATGTTGTCTCAGGCAAGTTTCTCAACTTTTCTGTGCCTTATTTTCTTCACTTACACATAAGGATAACAGAACCTACATCATAGGGTTAGTCTGAGGATCAGTAAGTTGAAACATGTAACGTCCTTAGAGTGGTGCCTGGCACACAGTACAACTCTATAAATCTTAGCTATTGTTGTTTTTATTATTATAACTGTATAGATGTTAGGTACTATTATTATTTATAAGAATGGGACATATCAACAATATTTATTACTGCTCTGGCAATTATAGTCAGAATCTCTAATCAGTGAAATAAATTATAATAGAGGTTTTGTTTCTCAAACATAGTTTAAAAAGAAACAGGTTTTGGGATAAGCCAAAGAAAAAAATCATACCTATATCCAAATATGTTATATTAAAACCTTGTTCCTTGGCGATTTCACTAAGCAGCTGGATGTAATCTGTATTGGGAATACTGAGGAGGCTTCTTTTCAGTAAGTTGATCTTTTCACCAGGAGAATTCCTCAAGGAATGCCAAGTACATCCTAGAGAATGTCCTACTACATTTGTCTGAAAAACAGAGATGAAGACTAAGATTCTTAACTCACACTGAGTTCCAACACTACTATAATTAAAAACATTTATTTGGCACTGACATTTAATACTTTATAAAGCATGTTTAAATGGGTACCATTTGACTAACTTGCTGACTTAAATACTAACAAGTACACACATTTAACAAATACCAAGATTCTAAAAAAAGAAGGACATGCAATAATATACTGGAAGGATTTTAAAATACTTTTGAATAGTACAAAGGTCTTTCAGTCAAATTTTCTGATTAATTTCCACATTAAGATGTATAGGATATTTAAAGAGCACTATAAACAAATCTGACGATAATTGAATCTGCCTAATGGAGTGACTTAGAAGTTAAAATAGAAAACAATTTTCATATCTTTATGGTTCCTTGTATTAAATACCAGGCACTATAACTAATAGCTATAAGGCAGGAAACAAAGAAACTATAGAAAAGGTGAAATGTGTAACTTGGGTTTGAGAATAACGAGTCATTCAAATGAATGGAAGGATGTCAAAAAGTTCTTACTGGACTTATCCCAGAACCAACTGAGCTTATTTTTTTCTGTTTTCTTTCTCCTTCTCTTTTCTTTATTCTCCCCTATATCCTTCCCTTTTCACCTCTGTTCTTAGAATGTTTTACATATTTCCATGTTAGTTTATATTTTTCAAATTTCCCTCATATACTATTGCCATCAAAAAAACCAAAACCAACTACTCTCTGAAGTAGGGCAACCTATCCTTAGTCTTATTTATTACTGAGCCTGACAGAGGTTAAGGGATTTTCAAAAGATCACAGGAATGGTCATGATACAGAATTGAATAATTTGTAAAATTTACTAAATAGAATTTTACACTCTTTGAATAGAACTTTAAAAAAATCATAATTTACTCACATAGTAAAAAAATACCTGCAATAAGAACAAACATATAGGGCCAGCCCCGTGGCTTAGGGGTTAAGCGCGCGCGCTCTGCTACTGGTGGCCCGGGTTAGGATGCCGGTCGCGCACCAACGCACTGCTTCTCCAGCCATGCTGAGGCCGCGTCCCACATACAGCAACTAGAAGGATGTGCAACTATGACATACAACTATCTACTGGGGCTTTGGGAAAAAAAGGAGGAGGATTGGCAATAGATGTTAGCTCAGAGCCGGTCCCCCTCAGCAAAAAGAGGAGGATTAGCATGGATGTTAGCTCAGGGCTGATCTTCCTCATAAAAAAAAAAAAAGAAAGAACAAACATATAACGAAGTATAGTCTCTTTTCCTTACCATCCCTTCCCTGAAGACTTCTATTCCGCTCCCCAGAGAAAGCTGCTGTTAAACATTTCTTCAGTATCCTTTCATAAGTGTTCTATGCATATTCAAGCACAGACACGTATGTAATCTTCTTTTCAAACAAAAATAATACCTTACTGCTCTACATCTTGTTCATTTTTCTCCTATCAGCACACAGGCATGCGCTGTATTTACTTTACCAGTCTCTCCAACCATGGGTTTTAGGTTGTTTCTGGTTTCTTGCTTTTACTAAGAACATTACAATAAAACTCTTTTGCACTTGGATGACTTTCTCTGTAGAATAATTTCTAGAAGTAAGAACTGCTGAGTCAAAGAACATGTGTGCTTTTAATTTTGATAAATACTTCCACACTGATTTCTGAACCAATTTATACCCCTATCAACTGCCTTGGAGGGTGCTTATTTTCTCAGAAGCTCACCAACACCAGGTATTATCAAACTTGGTAGGTTTTGTCACCCTAAAATGTGAAAATAGTACCTTGTTTAACTTGCATGAATGAAGTTGCACATTTTTGTTTTAACCATTCATATTTCTTCTACTGGGTTGTCTTTTTTTTTTTTTTTTTTTTTTTTTTTGCTGAGGAAGATTCACCCTGGGCTAACATCTGTGCCCATCTTCCTCTATTTTGTACATGGGTTGCTGGCACAGCATGGCCACTGATGAGTGGTGTAGGTCCGGACTGGAAACTGAGCCTGGGCCACTGGGAGCACACCAAACTTAACCACTAGGCCACAGGGCTAGCCCTGGGTTATCTTTTTTACTGATGTGTAAGACCTTTTTACGTGGTACTGAAAACAGTCCCTTTACAGTCATGTGTTGAAAATAATTTCTTCTCACTTTGTTTTTATTCTTGGTTTTATTTACAGATTTTTCACTGTGCAGGTTTTACGTAGTCAAATTTATGAATATTTTACTTTATAGCTTCTAGGTTTTAAGTTATGCTTAAAAAGTCTTTCCCCATGCTAAGAATTTTGAAAAAGAAAGCTCTTCTATGTTTTCTCATACTCAAACAGTTTCAATTCTTATGTTCAAATCTTTGATCCATCTGAAATTTATTCAAATGGAAGGAATAAGGTAGCAATCTAAATATATGTCATATACATATGCACAAAAATCTATACTTTTTCTCCCCAAATGTGGCTGTTAAGTTGTTTCTACATCGTTTATTGAATAATCCATCCTCTCATCCAGTGATCTGAAATCTCACTGCTGTCATATACTACACTCCTATATGGATTAGCATCTACATGGGATTCCCTATTCTATTCTCTGTCTATTCCTGTATCAGTACTGGTTTTAACTACTACAGCTTTACAGTATGTTTTATCCTCTGATAGGGTAAACCCCACCTCCTATACTCTTCCCTTTTCAGTTTTCTTGGCTATTCTTGAGTTTATTTTTCCAATAAACTTAGTAAAGTTGTGCCAAGGTCCAAAATAAATTCTGGTAGATTTTGACTGACACTACATTATATTTTTATATATTTACAATATTGAGTCTTCCTATCAAAAATAAAGAGATAGCTTTACATTTATTCAATTTTTGTTATATCCCTCAATAGAGTTTTAAGATTTTTCTCACGTGGGTCCTACACATTTCTTCTTAAGTTTATTCCCAGATATATTATCTTCTTTTCTACTATTGAAAATGGGATCTTCTATAGTCTATCACTTAATATTTGTAAGTAGGAAAACTATTGATATTTTTCCAGTATACTTTTTCAAGATAGATGTTAAATAAAATGTTAAATAAATAAAATGTTAAATAAATAAAATATGTTAACAAATGTTAAATAAAATGACCAATGTTATCAAGCTTCATAAATTTTGTTAATCAAAGTAAGACACAATACCACAAAAAATCAAACAGCACAGAATTATAAAAGCAGCAATCCCTAGCCTCAGTCCACCCCTACCTTCAGTCCCCCTTCCAGAAGCAATAATTTTTAACTTTCTATTTTTAATTAACCTGGTGCTTGCCTTCATAACTCTAAATAATACGAGAAAGCTACTGGTTTTGTATATTAACTTAATGATCTGTTACCTTGATGAAGTCTCTTATTATTTCTAGCAGTTTTTCTCTAGGGTTTTATAGGGATATAATCATATTATTTGTAGTTAATGATAATATATCTCCTCTTTTCTTATTTCTAACCTCTTATTGTTTTCTCTTGTCTAATTACATTGGTTGGTACTTCTGGAACAAGGTTAAAAAAAACAGTGTTAGTGGACATCCTTGTCTTATGTGTGAAATTAACGGGAATGGATGTAATATGTAAAGATGTAACCATGATTTTGACTTTTTTGAGGTAAATAGTTTGAATCCCAATTGGGATATTTTTAAAGTGTTTATCAGTAATGACTGTCAAATTTATCTTTATGGCATCCACTGAAAGGATTATATGTTTTTCTCTTTTGACCCATTAATGTGGTTGATTACATAACAGATTTACTAACCTTCAAACATCCTTGCATTCTTGAAATAAACTCTATACTTGTCTATAGTATATTATTCTTCTAATACTCTACTATTTTATTAAGGTGTTTCACCATAAGGGAGATTAATCTATAATTTTTTCCACTGAGATTTGCTATTGTCAGGTTTTGGTGTTAGTGTTATGTTGGTTTTGGAAAATAAATTTAGAGGCTTCCCCTATGTTATATACATTGCCAATAAGAGTTCAAATAGCATTGGAAATTATCTCTTTCTTGAAGATTTAACAGAATTCACCTGTAAACCTGTTTGTGCTTTGGGATTTTCGTGTCATCTCTGATGCAACTTTAAAAGAAGCAAATGCAATGTTTTGTATTTTTCTATTAAAAAAGTAAAACCAGGGGGGCCAGCCTGGTGGTGCAAGCGGTTAAGAGCGCGTGCTCTGCTGCAACAGCCCGGGGTTCGCCGGTTTGGATCCCAGGAGCGCACCGATGCACCACTTATTAAGCCATGCTGTGACGGCGTCCCATATAAAGTAGAGGAAGATGGGCACGGATGTTAGCCCAGGGCCAGTCTTCCTCAGCGGAAAAAAAAAAAAAAGAGCACGATTGGCATCAGACATTACCTCAGGGCTGGTCTTCCTCACACACACACACACACAAAAAAAAGTAAAACCAAAATTATATTACTTATGTATTGTCTTTTTCTCCTACAGAATATGCCTTTATTTCATCATAAGCTTAGGACACTGCTACAGTCCTCACTTCTCATTCCCCACCTAACAGACCACTCTCAGATAAAGTACCACAAGACATATAAAGTACCACAAGACATATAAAGTACCACAAGACATACCTATCTATGAATCTCAAGTAATGTATCATGTGTAGCCCAATCTTTTAAGCTCTATATCTGTATGCCACACTGCCTACTCAATATCTTTACTTAGATATTCTATAAAGACTCCAAATTCAATATATCCTATATTTAGCTCATTATTTGCTCCCTCTCAAATGCTACTCATCTTCTGTGTTCTCCATATTATTGAATGGTACCACCATCTACTCAGTTGCCAAGGTAAAAATATTTATTTCCTCCTTTTTCCTTAACTCTCCACATTCAATCAATTACCATACCCCATTTACTAAAGTTTTCTAAATAATTTTTAAATCTACCATTTCAACTGCCACTACCTTAGTATAGGCCACTATCATTTCTCATCTGCTTTCTATAACAGCATTCTGGCAGATTTTTCTGATTCTAATATTCATACAATCACCATAATGCAGTCATCGATTTCCTTTCTAATGTATAAATTAGATCCTGTCCTTCCTAGATTAAAATTCTTTAATGACTTTGCAGTACCCTCAGGATAAAGTTCAATCTCCTTAATATAGTCGTCCCTTCAAGATTTAATCCCTCTTTACCTTTCTGGCTTCATTGTTTGAGACTCTCTCCCTCCCACTCTATGCTCTAGCCATATCAAATTACTCAAGGTCTCTAGATCGCATATGATGTTTCATTCCTGGGTCTTCGCACATGCTCTTTCTTCTCTCCGAAATTCTTTCCGTCTGTTCTCATCCTACAGGTCCTGGCTTAGATATTACTTCCTCCAAGAAGCCTTTCCCCAACACCCCATCTAGGTTGGATCCTTCTCATATGTTCCCAGCACCCTCTTTAAGGACCAGCCTGTGGCATTCTTTATCAGTAGGCTTCAAACTCCTTAAGGGCAGAGACGGTCTTATTCACCATATGGCAGTACCTGGTACAAAGCTTGGCACACAGTATGGATCACTAAATGTTTGCTAGGTGCACGCATGAATGCATGAACAAAGGGATGGGAATGCACTGTGAACCTGAAGGCAAAAATGGCACTACTGGCCTATCTTCTTTAGATCCCATCATATTATTCTGAATTTGACTGTATCTCCCAAGCCCTCTTGACTGGTCACCCCTGTGACCCTGGCTCACATGTAGCAAGCCGCTAAAATTGGGGTGGTGTATAACTGAACAATGAAGAGATTTTTAAAAATTGCAACTCTGAAGTATCTATAAAATAAGAAATCAAGGAAAGTTTCCTACAGCAAGAGGTGCTTAATCACATTAACATCATAGCTGTCTGATCATTACTCACTAAAGAAATGTGGTTCTCTGGAGAAATATTACTGAATTTGGCAAGAAATTTCTCAGCAGCATTTCTCTTGGCTTGCTTTTTTGAGGCCCCCTTTCCTAAATAAGGAAAAAGAAATGGTAGATTTAGAAAACAAATTAGTGTCCATAGAGGACAATCAAATGTGTAAAGTATTGGGTTTAACCAGAGAACAAATTCATGGCTTTTATACACCAGACTATTCTTTTTCTGATCTGACATCTTTGCTTGCGCTTCATACAGCTATTGATTCTGACATTTTTGAAGGCACTTCTTTTCTTTAACAGTTTATCTTTAATAGTTACATTTTCACAGTTATATTTCCCTATGCCCAGCTTTAATAAACCATATTTGGTTTAATTCTGCCCAAATATTCAAGTTTATTAAGGTACATTCAAACCACAACTCCTATCTCTCAATGTCTAGTTCCTGTGTACAATCTCCTATAAACTGACAACTATGTGGAATTTCTTTCTTTAATAGGAATAAGAAGGGCATAGAAGATGCTGTAATTGAAAGACACCAGAAATATCATCTACTTCCATGCTTTTGTTTTCCAGATTTAAAAACTGAGGCTCAGGGAGATTAAGTAATTTGCCTAACCTTGCAAATCAAGGATTGCACCAGGAACAGAAGCGGAGCTCCCTGCTTCTGGCCAAGTGCTGTCTGCACTGGCCCATGACTACCTCTCGAGGGCAAACAGGCGCTTATTACTTGAAACTAGTCTCTAACACCAAGGTAAAATTCCATCTCAAGCTACTTTAAAAATGATAAAAACATGCTAGAGAAGTTACAATGGGACTTTTTTCTCACAGTTTATGGCCTTTACAACATACAAGTTGCTATAATTCAGAAAGATAATTTCTACTTTATTTTTATCTCACTGCAATTTTTTGGCCATCTAGGCCTCTTTTTAATCATCTTGTTTTCAAACATAATCTTCTTTTAGTCCCCCTATCTTCTAGAAGAGCAGGTGAAACTCCAAGAGATTTACTACTGCTTTTTTCTCCAAAACGAGTCTTTTAAAGTCACTAACACATCCATGAAGACTATTTAAAGAGTTAATTATTTATTTTGTCTTTCCATGATTTTTTAAAATATCAAACTAAGAAGTATAAGTATTCTTAAGCTAAATATTTATCCTTAAATTCAACTGCAGAAAGTTAGAGATAGTAAAACAGGAGTGTATCAATTTTTTCCCCTATCGAAATATTTGAAAAGAAATCACAACAGAAATTTCTATGGTCATTCATCATTTGAAAATATTTCAAATGTCTCAACTGTATGAGAGTAAAAAGAAATAAGTACCAGTTTCCATAAATGACTCTAGCCTGCAAATTGTGGTATACTCTCTCTTATGAGCAGGTCCTCCCTCCTGGGAAAGGGTATATTCAGGAAGTCTCCAGCCATGATGAATAGCCAATTCCTAGGAAATCGAGATGAGGCTTTAGCAGTAATTTTTACTATGCAATGGCTCAATCACATAAATGATATTCTTTCATCATTTTGATCCCATTTCTATATATATGTTTGAAAAGAATAATGATATTCTGCAATGGAAAAATGAGGGAAGACCCCATATTTCCCATAGATATCACTACATTTTATATCTCATAAGCCCATAATACCAAAACTGAAGCAATTTCCTGCTATGAATGGTGTTCTTCCATTAAGCCATAGTGAGCGGATATCAAAGAGTTCAAACAGAAAGACAAACTACTGTCACTCTCTTTGGGAACATCACAGAGGACACCTATAGGTCTCACTGCCATCAGTTCCTAAAGCCTCTCCCTATCTAGAGACCTCCATCCCACAGCTGGCTAACTAACCAGTGCATTTGATCAAGAGTGGGGAGCAGACAGCAAACAAACAGACTGGGAGGAGGTTGAGGAAAGACAGGAAAGAAAACTACAGAAAATCTCACGGAGCAGGAAAGAGACCAAAGGACTGGCTGAATGAAGGGCAGAGAAGCTGTCCAACAGAGCACATGGATAATCTGCAAGAAGGATATTCTGCATGCAGAAATTCAAAGCTGAATATATTTATTTTTGGTAGAATAAACAAACAAACAGATTACTTCCCTTTTCTTGAGTTAGGTTACCCGATTTGGGTTCTTTATAAAGTCTTCTGTCTCAACAGAAGTAGAAAGAGGTTTGTCACAACAGTGGCAAGAAATATTCTTAAAGTATAAAACACTCTACCCATGTGCACTGAGGTCCTGTTGATCTCAAATGAGAATTCCACAAACCAAAGGCAGATACTGTATATGGAAGAAAATCCAAAACGTAAATAAATAGGAAAATAACTTCGAGTTAGCGCTGTAATATCTAATGATCATAACTTGGAAAACAAAATATTACACCATCTTGTCTTTAAAATATTCATTCCCTGTCTTAGCCCCTGTGATATTATCAATTTATGACATCTTTTTTCAGTAGACAAAATGTTAAGTATGGAAAAACTGTGCAACTTACCTGCAATGAACCAATAGGATTAAGCTGGTTCTTTGGTTGCTTGGAAGGGTCAGGCATTAAGGGGTCAGGAACTGCAAAGCTAAACATTGTTTTAAAGTGTTAAAAAACAAAACAATTTCCCCCAAAATGACAATATTTTCTATTTAACCCTCTATGCCTTTGCTCTCGTTGTTCCTTCTACATGAAACGCCCTTCTCTCCCCCACCTTCTACGAGAATCTGATCTACTCATTATCCAAGGTGTATCTCAAATGCCACTTTCTCTAAGAAGCCTATCCTTTTACCCCAATGGAACATAGCTACTCTCTCCTTTGAAACATTCTAACATTTTTTTGACCCTTTCTTAAGCAAATTATTTTACCATAAATTATACTCTCTTACAAATACATGTAATTTGTCCATCCCTCACCACACCTCTCCCTTGTTCAGAGACTGTAAAATCCTTGATGGTAGGGCCTATGTCTTACTTACCTTCATAAGCTTTGTAGCACTTTGCATATAATAGGTGCTCAGCTAAAATGCATTTAAATAAAATATACTATATTATAACTACATGAAAAGGGAAGACTATTAGTCATGAAATTTAGCGTGGCAATGTGAATAACACAGATCATAAACACTGTTTTTTCATCTAGAGAATTATAGAAGAAAGATCTGTTTGACTTATCATTTGCTCTATGCAAATGATCCCCCTAAGATCATATGTACCCTGCATAAAATAGATGGCCTACATGAATCTGGTTTCAGCATGTGGGAATCGTGATTAGGAAAAAAGAGAACAATCTCCTCTAAGTAGCCTGAAACTACTAGTTACTTGGGTGACGGGTCCCTAACACTGAATAAGCTGCAGTCCAAGGTTACTAACACCTAGGTCACTGAAGAGTCACTTCTTCCAGGACAAATGAGGTTTACTTATGGCCACTTCCCTAAGTTTCTAACTGCCAGAATTTCAAGCTTTACATAGGCTGATGAGATACGAATATTCACTTACAATGCGCACGCCGAAGCTACCCAAATAATTGTGATGGAGAAGTGAGAAAGTCTCTGTATTAAATCAGGCCACTTTAGGCCTGATTACAGCTTAGTAATTCCCATCTTATCTGTCAAGAAGCACAAATATATAGTAAAGTGTGTTAGCGTTTTTTGCTGACAAAGTGAAGCGCCCAGGTGCAGGAAGGACACGCCGTACACTCATTTCTACGAATATACTCAACACTCTGGGTTGACCTCTGGGCTCCACAGAAACAGCATGGCCATCACCAGCGAGAGGAAAATCCAATACCTGCCATGCCATTTGGCATGTCTGGAAAGCTAGCATAAATCAAGTATAATGTATGACCCTAGAGAATCAAGCATCATTTTATAAGATCCAAGGCTTATCACTGGTTAGTTCTAAACTACCAAATGGTTTAGAATGACTTAGAAAGGAGGAGCACTGCACGAGAGCCTACATACATCTCTAAGCCAAAAGTTTTGCTACGGATGGGGAACAAAACACCATCCTAAATTCCCATGGGCTTCTGCTGTCAGCTATGAGCAGATTATAATCCAAGTCTATCTGAGTGCATGTAAAGAAGAATTTAAAGGCACTCCATGTTGTAGGGTGCACCCATTAGAAACCAAAGGACACCACTTTATGACACATGAGATGCTCCAGAACCAACTCTCTTTCCCAAAGCACCTAGAATAACAAATTTATTTTGGAAAGATATGTCAAGAATTAACATCCCACTTAACATCCTCTGTATTTGTTATACATCCTATAATAAAAGGAAATCTTTTTGTCTCCTTCCAAATTAGAATTCCTAAAAGAGTACTTTCAGTTGATCTTTTTCCACCTTGTTTTCTTTAGTGTAGAAATAATTAAAGTCTTAATGCAGTAAGATATTTGCCAGAAAAACTCTGCTTTGCTACTGTCACAGCCCATCTACAAAAAAAAAGCCTAGTTCGTGAAAACCATTTAATAGTTACTTGCTGGATTTAATTTCTTAAGGATAAAGTTGTCTTTAATGGATGATAGGTTTTCACAAGGAAGTAGAATTTTCCAGCTAGATACTAACAACTGTTCACTTTGTTGCTTTTGTGAGCATGTTCAAACTTTTAATCTTACCTCAGCCATGATATTTTTGAGCTGCAGAATACAAAGAAATTTAGCTCACCAAATACTTGCATTGGCTTTCAAAATGTTTATGGCAGCCTCTGCAGCTCTGTGTTTCGCCAGCTTCTTACTTGTACCTTCACCTGAATTAAGGTTAAAAAAAAAACCTTTATATGCTGTGAAAATGTGAGGCTTTCACATAATGCTTTTCATAATACAAAATAAAGTTACTACAGGTTTTATATATACACACTAGGTAATAAAAACATAGACTACATACAATTATATACTGTAATAAAATATTCACCACAAAAAATTAACACATTTAAAAAAACCGTCATTTTAGAAGTTCTACACATTTAACTATGCATACCTATATAAAGAATTCTTATGTCTACATTATATATGTTTATACACAAAATGGTAATAAAGTAGACCATGTCACACTTTCTAAAGAAATGCAACTTAGTATTTAACCCTTCCCTTATCCCTAGAGAGAGAGAATTCTTCTGAGGCAAGAAGTTTCCTTTAAGGGAGCCACTTACAACACTGTCTGAGAGTAGAATGTGCACAATTTTATTCCAACAGCCCATCCTCTACTGCATTAAACCCCTCTGATTGGCTAAGCAGTCATGGCCACATGTTGGGAACACTGGGGAAGGTCTATATAGGGAAGAAGGTGAGAGCTTATGTTATGTGTTTTCTATACAATCTGTATCTCTTACATGGGTAGCTAACGGGGTGGCAGGAGACGGGCCTTACTAACCACTGAGACTGATGCCTAACTACAGAAAGCAATCACACCTGGTAAATGGTAAATTCAACCTTTTTCCTTCTGAGTTCAAACCAGGTGTTGAGAACCCTCTGAAAGTGGTATGAGAATGCTGATGTCCATTCCTCTGGTGTGGAGGAAAGAAAGGGGACATGGAATAAATTTCAAGTGTGACCCTCAAGTGTCAGAGGACACACAAATAATACTCATTCATCCACTAACACGGGTATTAAGGGTACAGCAGAGAACTAAACAGAGTCCCTGTCCTTAAAGAGCGCATAGCCTCGTGAGGGATTTCGTCTGTAAACAGGCATCTGAAACATGGAGTAGTATGTGTTACGACAGGCCTCAGTGCAGGCTGTAGGAGGCACATGAAAGGCGCAGCTCCCGACTCTTGGGAAGGATTCAGAAAGGTTTCAAGAAGGAAGAGGTAACTAAATGGAGACCTGAAAGATCAGTAAAAGCTAGCAGAGCGAAGAGAGCTGGGGGTTTGGAAGAGCATTCTAGACAGAGAAAAGACCCCTGCCAAGGCTCAGAGGCAACACAGAGCAGGGTGTGCTCAAGAGCCCCAAGTAGGTGGGTACAGTAAGAGCCCAAGGGGAGGAATTTTGAGATAAAAGGCGAGAGAGTTGGACGGGAGAGGGAGAGATTAAGGAATAGTATCCTAAATTTGTGTTTCTCAAATTTAACGTGCATAGGAATTGCCTGGGAATTTTGTTAAAATGCATACTCTGATCCAGTAGGTCTGGCATGGGGCCTGATATTCTGCATTTCCATCATGTGCCCAGGTGATATCAAGGCTGCTGTTGATCACATTTTGAGAAACAAGGTTGTAAGTCATGTTAAGAAATTTGTATTTGTCCAGAGGTTGATGGGAAACCACTGACTGGATTTTAAGAAGAGAAAGTACATGAACAGATGTGGACGCCAGAGAGAACACTCTGGTTGTCCTGTGGAGAATGGACATCACAAGACTAGAAGCTGAAAGAGCAGCTACAAGACTGTAGCTATATTCCAAGTGGGAGATGACAGTGGCCCAGACGGTAGCAATGGGAAAACGAGAGAAGCAGACAGATGCAAGAGATATTTAGGAAGTAGGAGATGGTGACAGTCTGGACAAGGAGAAGGAGTCAAGAAGATGAAATCCAGATTTCTACTGTGAGAAAATCAGTGGTGGTGGTGCCTTTACTGGGCTGGGGAAGGGATGTGAGAAAGAAGATGGATTCAGTTTGGGACAATGAGAGACTGAGGTGCCTTTAGGTCATCCTAACAAAGATGCCCAGCAAGCACAGGTTGATACACTGTTCTGTAACTGGGCCTGGGCTGAAGATAGAGATTTCAGAATTATCGGCCTTTAGATAGTATTTGAAGCTGTGGAGGCAGATAAGCTTGCACAGGAAGACAGGGCAGTGTGAGAAGGGTAGGGGGCCAAGGCAGAATGGTTACCATAGATTGTTAGGCTCCAGTCTAAAACACACTGAGGGAAAAAAGGCTACTTTTTCTTGAATTTTCACTGAACACTTAAAAATAGACCAGCTAAAGCACTAATGCAATGCTGATTCTATGGTTCATATGAGGAAACTTCCAGCTGGCACCTACAATCCACCTGCCTCATATAGACAAAAAAGCTTCAAAATTTTCTTAAAGTGGCTCCAATGAAAATAGCGGACTCCAGCTTTTCAGGGACACAAACAAATGACGGCTTCAGATGACCAGATGGTAGAACTTCAGCCTTCCTGCTGAATTTTTTGCTTGGCATTATTCCAAATTAAATTTAGTATTCAATATTTTTTATGTTTCAATTAAATAAGATACCTAAGAAATAAAATGTCTACATTTACAAACGGGCAACTTCAGTTGTCAGTTGCTCAAGTTCACAGACCATAATAAAGTTGAGTTTGAACTCTGAAACTTCGATGCTATGTGACTTTGGGCACATTACTTATGATCTCTCTGAACCTGTTTCCTCATGTATAAAAAAGGAGATAACGTCGTATTAAATATCTGTACAGTGTCAGGAACTAGAAGATGCTATGCAATATAGTGTAGTCGAGCCTTCTGCCTTCCTCATTTTGCTTGGATACAGAATATCGAGTGTGGTGCAAGGGGCCCAAAGTGCCTAGTGAGTCTAAGAACCTTTCCTGCTTCTCCCTAATTCTAGGAAGAACCCTAGGAGAGTCCTAAGGTATGTTTCTGAGCTTGTCTTGGTATCTGGGGAAGAGAAAATTAGGGAGAGAATCAGATGAACTTGGAAAGTTCCAATGACCTGAGATGAGAGGTCTCAGTTTCAAGAGTCTGCTCCTCACCACTGTCTCAGGTAAAAAGGGCACTTTTCCGAACTGCAAAGCAATACCAAGTCTTGACCGCCAACCCGCCTGGTCATCTGGGTTAACTGCATACAGACCTGTGCAGGTTATGTCACCAACGGTTACTCTGAAGGTGAAAGTGGGCACGTGTATTTGCACATCCGATCTTTCACATTCATAAACCGGGATGTTCTTGGTCTTCATGCCGTATTCGTGTAATACCTGAATCGGTGTTTTCCCTGGCTTAGCTGTAATCATCTTCCCCAAACTGCAAAAACCAGAAAAAGGTGTGCTTTGCATGCCAAAGCGGAGAGGGAGGCAGAAGCAGACAGGGGCTAGTTCTGATCGTTATCCACGGTGACGCGGGGGGAGCCGAAGGTCCCAGGCGGCCAGGGCCCGAGCTGGCGAGGCGCACCAGCCTCCCTGCCCCGCTGCGGCGGGCACCGGGCAGCGGCGGGCAGGGCGAGGGAGGTCTTTAGGGGGCTAACTCGAATGCGCGAAGCAGGGATTCGTAGCGGAATAGGGCAGGCACCGGCGCTGCGACCTCTGAAGACCAAGCCCACAAATGCCTTTCTCAGGGTGGCGGCCGCGCGCCACCTCCGCCCAGCCCGCGCACTGCCCGAGGCCGCAGGAGGGGCGGGGCCCGGCCGCAGACCCCGGCCCGCGCGCCGCCGAGGGGGCGGGACCGAGCGCCCGCAGGTCCGCCCGCAGCTGCGGGGGCGAAAGCGCCGCGAAGGGGCTTTACCCAGAATGCCGCTGGAGAGCCGGTTCCCCCGCCCCCGCGTCTCTTGCCCACCACTCCCGGCTCGGCCTCGACTGCCCCGGCGCTGACCTGAAGGTCCCGCTGTCCTGGCGCTCCAGCGGCGGGGCCGCGGCGCGATGCCTGCTCTGGGACATGGCGAGAAGGGACGGCTCGGCGGCCGGAGGAAGAGCAGTGCGTGGCGACGTGCTGGCTCCCCCGGTCGGCCGGTCCCCGAGAGAAGCGCTCCAGCGCCACCGCCGCCGCCTCCCCTCCTCCCACTCCTCCTCTCCTCCCGCTTGCGTCCCTCTCGCGAAGGGGACGGGCGGGGGGGAGGCGGAGCCTCGGTGTGGCAGTGCCCGCCCCGGCTCCCGGCCACGCCCCCTCGCCGCCCTGGCTGCGGGCCCTTCTCCGTGCCCGGCCCCGCCCACCGGCTCAGGGTCTCTCCGGCTCCGGCCCCGCCCTCCCCTCCAGACCCCGCCCTCCCCATCCAGACCCCGTGGCCTCCCCGCCCCGGCTGTCCTCAGCTCCAGCCCGCGGCACCGCGCTTCGGTGCCCCGGCTTATCGGCGCCTGGCCCGGCAAGGCCGTAGTTCTGTGTCCTTAAAAGGAGGGCGTTTCTTGCCGGGAGAGAAGGCTTGTCCGGCGGGCGAGCCTCACAGTGTGTGAGGCCTGAAGCTCAGACCTTTTTTTTTGGAGGGGGAGGTAGGGCGTAGGGTGAGGGCTGCGTCACTTTAAGAAAAAGATTTCAAAATTCCAAATGCAAAATTGCTAGAGACACTCCCCGGGCCTGGCCCCGAAGCTTGAAACTGGCGGAATATCCGCTCCTGAGGGCTGCGGTGGCCCTCAGGAGCTTTAGGAGCTCGCGAGGACATCTGAGACCCCACTCCTCTCCCGCCAGGTGGGCTCCATTGTCTTCTAGGTTTTGGTCGCGAGAAGAATGCTGGGCCACCGGATCCCTACAAGACATATTACGTGTAGACGAAGGCTTCTTATGGTACCTGATTCCAATTAAATGTTTCTGCACACCTGTGTTGTTGGTTGTAATGGCGTTTGCCTGGGATGCACCACTTTTGGTGGAGGTCAGACAGCGACATTAGATGTATCGCTTTTCTAGGGGTTTGCTAGCCACTTGCAGAAATCACTTCGTGTGCTTTCTCGGTGTTCTGGAAGATTGCTTTGCCCAATGGTATTGGCAGGAGGGGCTATTATTAAAAACTTTTTTTTTTTTTTTGTTGCACGTGAGCCCTGGATGCTTGAAAGTAAATGAAAAAAATGTCTAGAATCTAGTAAAATTGATTTATATTATTTGAGGCTGGAATTAAGCCTATTCTCTCTTCCTCCTCCTACCCCCTCAATATGTGTATGTATGTCGATTACTACCCACTAATGTTATGTTTTAACAAATATCTTATTTTAAGTACCACATAGCCACTATTTCAAAATATATTAACATCCACATAACTATGGCAATACATTATTTCAGCACTCAGGTTTGTTTCTAAAATTTGTTTTTATCCACAAAATTCCTTTAAAAACAAGCCAAAACCTTATATAGCTCTTTTTAAAGGTTGAGTAACTGGGATAATAATCATGAAACAAAAAGAAAATAAATGCAGCAGGACCCCGTTTCAAAGAGATGTTGTCTATGTGCCAGCTTCAGAGTAAGAAACCCAAATGTCAGTATACAGTTATGTAATGCGGCTTTCATTTAGTATTTTACAAAGATCTGCATACAATTGTTTCCTTATAGTCTATGAATTTATATTTTATATTAATCACTTGGTTTTGTAAGCATACAGGGAAAATGAATGAAATGCTCAAACAGTGAACTGTATACCATAAGGATTCCAAACAGCACTTTTCTGTTGCCAAAATTGGCATGATGGAGTTGTGAAGGAGTTCCCTTTGGACTAGGTCCACTGTAGATGGTGTCCAGGGCTAATGTTAGTGCCTAAATTGCATCGTTCCCCATAGGGCTATATGCTTCCCTCAAGACTGGCAAACCACTATCAACTGTGACCCTCATCAAAGACATTGGTAATGTAATTATTAGTTTTCTGTGTATTTTAGTGCTATAGACTGCAATTCCAAATTAGACTTGCTTTTAGTATATCATTTTACACCGTTGATCTATAATTCATTACCTGAGCACGCCAGGGGAGGCGGTGTGTGTGGATTGTACACTGGTAAACTACTTGGTGAAACTATACTTTGTATTTTTAGCAGGTGTAATTATATTTAAAGTCAAGCAAGGCTTAGTTTTGTGCCTGATTTTCTTTGAAAATATGGATTTCTTATCTGAGGGTTGCAGTTGATGATGTTTTAATACTATGTTAATATGTTTGCTGCTGCTACCAAGAGCTTTGTCAAACAAGTTGGAGATGGAGGGAGATTAGTTCCTGTTCCAAGCCTCAGTGAGGCTGACAAATACCAACCTCTAAGTCTGGTGGTTAAAAAAAAGCGATGCTTTCTGTTTCCTAGATATAAATTTACCTCAACACCTTTTACACTGAAAGATGTTCTTCTAGGAGACAGAGAAATTTCAGCTGGTAAGTTTAAATGTCTGTTTGGGAGTGACTAATTCAGCTATATTATTGGTGATCTAAACATAGATTGTATATACTACTTATGTTCGTAATATTTACACATTTTCATTGATAAAAATAACTTTTATTACTATGGCAGTAATAATACTAAGATTAACAATGCCTAAAGTTTATACAGTATCACATCTCTTATTAGTTGAATAATTTTCAAACCTATTTTGTAGGATTATTGCATAATCTTATTTCAATTATTTTGTAAATTGTTTTAACCAAATCAACTTAGAATATGACATAATATATTTCTTCATCTATAATATGGGGTATTGTTTACTCTTACCTATCTCACATGATCAAACGAAATGAAAGTAATTTGCATTTATTTTTTTATGATTCAGTTATTACAGTTGATAAAGTGAAATGTATTAGAGGCTGGATTAGAAAATAAATTGACATTTTGACAAATTATTTCTTATAAAAACTTGGTGTTCTTTCAACCGCCCATTGGATCTTGATGCCTAAGAAGTTCTGTTGGCTGAACATAGACTTGAGTTCATTTTAAGTACTCTGGCTATTTATTTCTTTTTGTTGTCAAATTAATTAAATTGCTATTTTTAATTTTGGTTTGAAATGTTGCCTTCCTCCACATTTGAGTAATGGAGTCTTAAATAGAAAATTAACGTGTTACTATATGTAATCTACGTTAGATGAATTCAAGACATTTAAAAAATATTAATTTCCTTTTCTTAAAGGTATTTCATCTTATCAGTTACTGAATTATGAAGATGAATCCGATGTCTCACTCTACGGAAGGAGAGGCAACCATATTGTGAATGATGTTGGGATTAATGTTGCTGGATCAGATTCCATTGCTGTAAAAGCTTCATTTGGTGTAGTAACCAAACACGAAGTGGAAGTATCAACGTTACTCAAGGAGATCACTACACGGTCAGTATAATAATCCTTAATATACTTCACTGTTTTCATTAAATATTTTAATTATGTAAACTTCATTACAAAGAATGCTTAAAACATTCAGGTTGTATTTTACTAATGTAATTTATTTGTTTGATTTGTTTGAAATATTACAAATTAGTAATATATGCAAACTTTGGTAGATATCCACAATCATTTGGTTTAAACAGAATTTTTAATTGTTCCACAAAATGGCTTTGGCTCTGCACGCATTTGCTAAATTATTGGATTGAAAGAATATAGGAATCTGCTTGCAACAAATATGAGAGAGTCTCCTCCAATACACTCCTATAACAAGCATGTTTTAAGAAAATAGAAAGGAAAAGCAGATTATTAAATGTCTTTTGAGCTTACTTTCTGATTTGTATTAGGCCTGCCTTGATTTACTTTTAGTTAAGGTGGACTGTGCATGAGTAACACCTGATAGCAAAAACTGTATTTGATTATATGTAATTAGATGTTACAGATTCTTGTGAATGTCTCTCTTCTTCATTTTAGAAAAATTAATTTTGACCATAGCTTGATACGTCAGTCAAGGAGCAGCAGAAAGGCGGTATTGTGTGTGGTCATGGAGAGCATTCGAACCACACGACAATGCTCACTGTCTGTGCATGCTGGCATTCGTGGGGAAGCCATGCGGGTAAACCACACTCATTGGGCTTCTCTTACTAAAAAGCTGCAATGGGAATTTTTAAAAAGTATTCAATTTCTAATGAGATGTGTATTTTGTCAAATGTTGAGATTCAAGAGCTGCAGTTGTATATAGGATTTTCCACAGTAATGGTTTGTTTTAGAATATGAAAAAAATCCAAGAAAATTTGGATTCTAAACATGTATAGTATAATGCAAACAAAACACCAATCCTTGTGAAATAATGTGCATATTGGAGTTCCTCCTATTACAATTTAAATGCTGTTTTAAGAATAATAGTTGAGGGCCGGCCCTGTGGCTTGGTGGTTAAGTGCGCGCGCTGCGATGCTGGTGGCCCGGGTTCGGATCCCGGGTGCGCATCGAGGCACCACTTCTCCGTTCATCCTGAGGCCGAGTCCCACATACAGCAACTAGAAGGATGTGCAGCTACGACATACAACTATCCACTGGGGCTTTGGGGGGAAAAAATAAAATAAATAAAATCTTTAAAAAAAAAAAAAAAAAGAATAATAGTTGAATGCTTATGTTGAATTCTTTGATTTTATTTTTAGGTGATTTTTAGTTTGTACTTGAATTTTTAAATGTTGAATTTATATATATATATTTTTGTGTGTGTGTGTGAGGAAGATTAGCCCTGAGCTAACATCTGTTACCAATCCTCCTCTTTTTGCTGAGGAAGATTGGCCCTGGACTAACATCTGTGCCCATCTTCCTCTACTTTATATGGGACACTGCCACAGCATGGCTTGACAGGCGGTGCATTGGTGTGTACCCGGGATCTGAACCTGCAAACCCTGGGCCGCTGAAGCAGAGCACACGCACTTAGCTGTTACGCGCCACTGGGCTGGCCCCGAATTTATATTTTTAATTAAATTAATCTTTCTAAAATAATATTGTCAATGGGAAACATGCTTCATTCAATGTTAAATCCTTTTTAAAAGATCTTGAAGGTTATTTGTTTAATTTTTAGCTCAATTATGATACTGTTTGTCCTTGTCATTTACATAATAATGACACAATAATGACTTGATTGGTTTTATTAAAACCAATTGCTAGAAAGATAGGGTTCAGTGATCATCTTTTTAAGTCTTTGCAAATAGAGGTTCTGTTCACTGGCTACATTTAGCTGCCCACCACGTTGTTTATCATTGGATTATTTCTTGGGCACAAACTGAAATATTTACTTAATTGTTGGTGATTGCTTTGGAAAAT